CTAATCATTTTCCCCTTCATGCCTTCTACTCCTTTTCCCTTCAAGCTTTCTAATCCTTTCACCCTTCAAGTCTTCTACTCCTTTTCCCTTCAAGCTTTCTAATCCTTTCACCCTTCAAGCCGACTACTCTTTCTCTCTTCAAGCTTTCTAATCTTTTTCCCCTTAAAGCTGTCTACTCTTTCTCCCTTCAAGCTTTCTAATACTTTTCCCCTTCATGCCTTCTACTCCTTTTCCTTTCAAGCTTTCTAATCCTTTTCCCCTTCAAGACTTCTACTCCTTTTCCCTTCAAGCTTTCTAATCCTTTTCCCCTTCAAGCCGTCTACTCTTTCTCCCTTCAAGCTTTCTAATCTTTTTCCCCTTCAAGCCGTCTACTCTTTCTACCTTCAAGCTTTCTAATCCTTTTCCCCTTCAAGACTTCTACTCCTTTTCCCTTCAAGCTTTCTAATCCTTTTCCACTTCAAGCCGTCTACTCTTTCTCCCTTCAAGCTTTCTAATCTTTTCCCCCTTCAAGCCGTCTACTCTTTCTACCTTCAAGCTTTCTAATCCATTTTCCCCTTCAAGACTTCTCCTTTTCCTTCAAGCTTTCTAATCCTTTTCCCCTTCAAGCCGTCTACTCTTTCTCCTTCAAGCTTTCTAATCTTTTTTTTCCCCTTCAAGCTGTCTACTCTTTCTACCTTCAAGCTTTCTAATCTTTTTCCCCTTCATGCCTCTACTCCTTTTCCCTTCAAGCTTTCTAATCCTTTTCCCCTTCAATACTTCTACTCTTTCTCCCTTCAAGCTTTCTAATCCTTTTACCCTTCAAGCCCTCTACCCTTACTCCCCTTAAAGCTTTCTAATCCTTTCCCCCTTAAAGCTGTCTACTTTTTCTCCCTTCAAGCTTTCTAATCCTTTTCTCCTTCATGCCTACTACTCCTTTTCCCTTCAAGCTTTCTAATCCTTTTCCCCTTCAAGACTTCTACTCCTTTTCCCTTCAAGCTTTCTAATCCTTTTCCCCTTCAAGCCGTCTACTCTTTCTACCTTCAAGCTTTCTAATCTTTTTCCCCTTAAAGCTGTCTACTCTTTCTACCTTGAAGCATTCTAATCCTTTTCCCCTTCATGCCTTCTACTCCTTTTCCCTTCAAACTTTCTAATCCTTTTCCCCTTCAATACTTCTACTCTTTCTCCCTTCAAGCTTTCTAATCCTTTTACCCTTCAAGCCCTCTACCCTTACTCCCCTTAAAGCTTTCTAATCCTTTCCCCCTTAAAGCTGTCTACTTTTTCTCCCTTCAAGCTTTCTAATCCTTTTCTCCTTCATGCCTACTACTCCTTTTCCCTTCAAGCTTTTTAATCCTTTTCCCCTTCAAGCCGTCTACTCTTTCACCCTTCAAGCTGTCTGATCCTTTTACCCTTCAAGCCGTCTACTCTTTCTCCCTTCAAGCTTTCTAATCCTTTCACCCTTCAAGCCTTCTACTCCTTTTCCCTTCAAGCTTTCTAATCCTTTTCCCCTTCAAGCCGTCTACTCTTTCTCCCTTCAAGCTTTCTAATCCTTTCACCCTTCAAGCCTTCTACTCCTTTTCCCTTCAAGCTTTCTAATCCTTTTCCCCTTCAAGCCGTCTACTCTTTCTCCCCTTCAAACTTTCTAATCCTTTCGTCTTCAAGTCTTCTATTCTTTCTACCCTTCAAGCTTTCTAATCCGTTTCCCCTTCAAGCTTTTTACTCCTTTTCCGCTTACAGTTTTCTGTTCTTGTCCCGTCCAAGCTTTCAACTCATTGCCTTCATTTGATGACTTTTTTTTATTATACATTCCCCTCATATTAAGATTGATTTCTCCTTTAAAGTTTACCTTTCTTCTTTCATTTATCCTTTAACCCACTCCATTCCTATCAATATAAGATTAGCGTTGTATTATTCTACCCCTTAAACTTTCTTTCGACTTCCTTTTTCACTCAATTTCTTTTCTGTTCCTCGTCTTTCTATCATCTCCCTTCCTTTTTATCATTTTCTTCTTTCCATTTCATATATCTTGATTTTCTTCCTTATTTTATACTATGTATTTTTCTCGACATTTTTTAAGCGTTCCACCCCAAGCAAAGCGGGAAACCACTAGAACGCAAGGGGTTACAGAAGATTTGGAGCAAGATCAGATAGGAGTGATAGAGGAAAGGATGAGGAGAAGGATAGTGGATAGATCAAGGCAACTGGAGATGTCGATTGACATTACATTTGAATAGTTGGAGATTATAGCTCTCAGGGGAACTAGAGTAGGGAAGGGAGTTCCACAAGCGAGAGGGGCGAGACATGAAGCTATTGAAGTAGAAGAGACGGCTACATTTAGTAGTTTCGACAGTGAAAGGGTGAGAGCGGGATGCCAGCCTCGTAGGGCGCTTGAAATCATGAAGTCTGGGAACCAGCGAATGCAGCTCCTCGGAGCAATTACCATGAAAGTATTTGTAAAAAAGACAGAAAGAGGCAACGGCGCGTCTGTGAGAGAGCGACTGTAGACGAGATGTCAGAACAGGGCCAATTATATTGCATATCCGCCTCTGGAGGTTATCAAGAACCCCGAGGCAAACAGAAGGAGCTCCAGACCATATATGGCAGCAATAGTCCATGCAAGGGCGAATTGTTGATTTGTAGATCTGAAGGATCGACTCCGGGGAGAAAAATTTCCTACTTCATTATTATATTTTCTTTTTTCTTCTTCTCCATATAATTACCAATTGTTTTCATATATTACTGTTTTTTTGTTTGTTTTTGTTTTTTTTTTTAATCATTTTTCTTTTCTCCTTAATCTTAATTCTGTATATTCAATTATATTTTTCCTTCATCATCATTCTTTCCAGATATTTTCTTTTCCGGGGTTTCACATTAATCAACAGTTTCATTTCTTACCTTTTAATTAATCTACGTTTCTCAGATTCCAGTTTTTTAGCGTTTTCTTTACTGTTTTAAATTTATTTTTATCTCAAGCCACAAAAACCCAAGCCAGAAGCATGCGAACAAAACTGATACAGTAATAAACGACCAAGTAAAGATAGCACTGGACAATGATATACGAGGCAAGAAAACAGCTGATAAAGATAAGAAAGGGAAAAAATTACATTGTAAAGAGACGAGAATAAGAAGCATTTTGTTAAAGAGGATACTGACAAGTCTTTATCATATCACAAGCCGTTGTTCCCCTTTTCTAAAATACGACACAAGGTAACAGCATTAACTTTAACCAGATGTATCCTTTCCAAAGAAGGCAACAGTACATACATGCGAGCGTGAGTGCGCGCACACACACAAACACACGCGCGGTTATATATATATATATATATATATATATATATATATATATATATATATAACACCATAACATAGATTGTGTTTGGAAAAAAACACAAGGTCGACCAGGGCATTTCTGGAAGATAAAGTTTTTTAGGGCAAGCAGCTATATATATATATATATATATATATATATATATATATATATATATATATATATATATATATATATGTGTGTGTGTGTGTGTTAGATTACATATCATACTAATAATTTATTTGGAAATTTGAAAAGGATTTGTTTTCACATTTCCCAAATAAATCATTTGTGTTATATATAAGGTATTATGCCGACGAGTAACGATTAAATTTCCGAAACATGTAAGTTTTTGTGTAGCGATGTAAAATGTGCTTATTTTAATCTATTATAAAGAATTTTAATAATTTTAATATATATATATATATATATATATATATATATATATATATATATATATATATATATATATAAAATAAGAAAAGATTTTGTTTTGGAAAAAATACAAGGTCGACCAGGGCATTTCTGAAAGATAAAGGTTTTAGGACAAAAGCCTTTGTAATTGTAGCATTCGATATCAAGAGATATAACATTAATAGAAATAAATCAAATGTTCATTTAGCATGACCCGATTCAGAGTTCCGCGGTTATTACACCCTCTGTACTATGTATGTATGTTTGAATGCCTGTTTATATATGTATATGTGCATTCATACGTATACGCATGTCTTGTGCATGCATATATATATATATATATATATATATATATATATATATATATATATATATATATATATATATATATGAAATGTTTACTCAAGTTTTTGGTTTTATTTGGTTTGGTTTGGTTTGGTTTGTTTTGCGGCATATCAACCTCAATAGGTTATTTAATGCCGGCAAAATTTTTATTGCTGCTAATATTTTTTTAAAAATGTATTGCTGATAATATTTTTTTTTGAAAATCAGCATCTGAAATGTTTCCTCAGGTTTTGGTTTTATTTGGTTTGGTTTGGTTTGGTTTGGTTTGTTTTACGGCATATCAACCTCATTAGGTTATTTAATGCCGACAAGATTTTTATTGCTGGTAATATCTTTTCCTTCAGAAATGTATTGCCGGTAATAATTTTTCTTTTTCAAAAATGTATTGCTGGTGATATTTTTTCTTCAAAAATGTATTCCTGGTAATATTTTTTTTCCTCAAAAATGTACTGCTGATATTAAAACCTATTTTTATACTGTCATAGTGTTTTGACCCCCAGTATGAGGGTTAACTATTTGTTCATAGTTGGGATCCTAACAGGTGCTACCACACCGGGTTAGGGTGGACCTTGGAACACTAGCATTTAAGAGATGGCTCCATGCTTCTCAAAACCTCCCGACCAGAGGCCTTGCTGTTGGATGTAGTTTATCGTCTTACCCAGGATGCTTGATATTATATTTAGTTTCTGGGAAACATCTTCGCTCTTCCTATGCATCTTCGGATTTCTGTGTTACATTTGACGTCGACTGTAACTACATTGCCTGATTTTCATAGTTTTTTTTTATAGTTAAATCTGATATCGCCAATTCGCTTTTGGCGGCTTCTATTTATTATCTCTTCTTATAATTAATAGATAATACTTTCTTCTTGTTTTCTTTGATTAAGAATTCTTTCAGTTTCTAAATACCTACATTTCTATTTCAATACATTTTCTCATATATTTACGTATTCTTTCAGGTTATGGTCACATTGCTCCCAAGACAAAATGGGGCCGGATAATAACCATGATTTACGCCATCTTCGGGATACCATTAACCATCCTTTGTCTGTCCATTATTGGCTCATCCATGGCCAGCGTGTTCAAATTCGTGTATAAAAACATTTGCCTCGGATGTTACCGGCAGTGTCGGCGTTTCAGGGCTTATCTCGATTCGGATGAAGGAATACCGTTAGATGCAGCGACGGCTGCAGCAGCTGCTGTTCCGAATGTCTTAGTTGCAGCCGGTGTGGCCGCTGCGGCCGAGGAAGCAAACATCGCCGCTAAAACTGGGCTTCCATCTGAAAAACAGACAGTCGATCTACAAAAGGGGCAAGAAATATGGGCGGTACACAGAACTTGGCCAAACGGTGGCGATTACCGAAGAAACAGTAGTTATATGCGATCGATCCCGGGCAGGGGCGACGAGGAATGCCTTGAAAGAGCTTACTTGGCGGCAATCGGAAATAATGAAGATGAAGAAATCGGGACGAGAGAGCAAAATGAAGAATGCGATGTTGTGAACTCACCAAGCGAAATCGAACTTGAAGATAGCATTTGTGAAAAAAGAAATGGCGATGTCGTAAGAGTGCCAGTATTTGTTAGTCTTTTAGTGTTTGCTGCTTATATATTTCTTGGTGCTGTTCTTTTTTCTTTGTGGGAAAAAGACTGGGATTATTTGGTTGGCTCGTATTTTTGTTTCATTACTCTTAGCACAATAGGATTCGGAGACGTGGTACCCGGCTCTACAGGAGATTCCTGGGCAAGCGCCAAAAAGCAGGCACTCTGCTCCATTTATCTCCTCTTTGGAATGGCTATGACAGTTATGTGTATCAAACTTATGCAGCAAGAGGTGAGGTCAATATTCACAAATTTGGGCCGTAAAATTGGACTTATTGAAACGGAGGATGAGGAAATAAAAAGAAAGAGAAAGGAAATAAAACTCAAAGAAGTCAAAGAAAACGTGTCAGAAACTCAGAATTATGACAAAACAAGCGACACTGTTGTAAGCCTACAATAGCCACATTGGATTTGATAATGGAACACTTGGAACTTATTGTTTCTCCGTACTGTCAAGATATGTCCTGCAAGTCTTCTATGAATGTTGTTCCATTGAAAGCCATTATAAATAAAATATCAAGATCATGTCATGGATACGTTGCTTTCTTTATACAAGAACTAAATCAATTCCTACAAGCAAGAACGTCTCAGACTTTCCAACCTTTCCCAGAGATTTTTGAGAATAATTCTGGTCACAATACATTGAGTATCTCATGTTGACACTTTATCTTTGTATTTTATTGAGTATTTGTTTTGTTTTTCTTTCTTTTTAAGTGAACATCCGTTAAGGTTTTTGTTTTTGACATGAAATAATCTAGCTTTCGGAGCTAGAGTTCCGTAGACACACTTGAATGGAATATAGCACAAAGCAGACTTTGAAGTGGGAGTCCCATGCATATATGTGATTAAGGATAAAATTTCCTCAAGCCAAATTTCAGTAGGAGTAGATAGGTTCTTCTATCATCGGGTTCAAACTCCTCCCCACTCTATTGAGTAGTTGAAGACATTTATCCCTTGCATCTTGTTTAGGATTGGATTTCTGATTCCTTCTAAAATCCTCTCATTCTCTTTCATTCACAGTACCCTCTTGTGTCTTTGTACTATTATCGATCTGCTTGAGGTGAACTGATTTAAAAACAAATGAGCATTTTCCATTTCAGCGACGCTTTAAATATCAGAGCTTAAACCCTAGATTCTCTCCTGAAGGGGAGGTATTACTTGGATGGGCAGAATAAACCCTTGGATGCTCAAATGATCCAAGGATCTTCGAACCACACCCTCAGTTTTGTCATTGTTTTTGTTATTATTGTCGCAGTAGTCATGTTAGCAATTTCCTATGATACTTACTGGACCAGTTGAGCGAGGCGTTAATCCAAGAATCATTGCCATGAAAGCAAAACAAATGGCAGTTTGAAAAGGACAATGATTGATAATACATCCATCATGTAGTTTATAGCCATATACTTTTGGAAAGATTATAATACCAGATAGGTTGTTATGCAGAATATCTATAAAGTGTTCATATAATTTGTTCAGAGTTTCTAGATGTTTTGTTGATATACATCAATGGGCATTTTGTGCAGTCTCTTTTGTATATTTCTGTCTCTGTTGTGTTGTTATCTCGCTTGATGCTAACCATATCTCTTATTGTTTTAGAGGTGCTGTTCATGAAGTTTAGAAGAAAAATATAAAAAAATTAAAAAAAAACCACAAATAATGATACTAATAATCCCAACCATAACAAAATCAAACACAGAATCCTACCTACCAACTCCATAACAACCACCAGTGAAAAAAACAAAAACAACTTTGTCATAAAAATTATAAACACTACCTAAAACAGGAGATATAGTTAGCATCAAGCAAGACAGCAACAAAAGAACAGAGGCAGGAATATATAAAATAGACTGCAGAAAATGATCATTAATGTACAGGGTGTACCAAAATTTTTGTCACCTATACATAATATAATTTTTTAAATCAACGTTCTCTCGTTTATTATCGACGAAAGTGTTTCACATGGACAATACCAGAATACCCATCAATTGAAGTACGCCATTCGGAGAGCCTTTGTAACAATCAACAAAGCACAACTTCGTAAAATAGCACACAGGACATGGCGCCACATCATTTTGTGCCACGAAAATGATAGTTTTCATACTTTTCGATGTATTACAACGTCAATAACAGTGAATAAACTGAATCCAGTACATGTGCTTTGTATTACTTTTCTTCTATTGCCCTCATTACTTTTTTAGTAGCGGGTGACAAAACTTTCGGACCACACTCTACATTGGTGAAACATCCAGAAACCTCAGATGTCTAAATATTTTTTACGCATTTACTAATACTGCTGAAATATTAAAAAACAACTGATATATGCTTTCCCTTTCTCTATATTTGCTTAAACTCCACTCCTAAACTCAATTCGGAAAAGAAATTCTTTTGCAAAGAAAAAGAAACTAAAAAATAAAATGGCGTACAGATTTGATTGTCGTCATGAAATTTTCCTGCAAATTTTGTCAAAAATTCAAAATTATCAGTAATCTTACCTACAGACAAAACACTGCTAGCCTTTAAGTAGTACATTACTACTACTGTGGTAGATATTCGGACGAGTCGCACTCCTTAGTGCCACTAGCTTGGAGCATCACAGGTAGGACTTGGTATGTTGTGATGATGGTGGCAAACCAGCCCCATTCCCCTTCGTGTTTCTTTGATAAAAAAGCAAGTTCCACTCAAGCAATTTCTGTTACTTTGTGGAACAGACTCCTGAGGGGGTGCTTCCCTGACAAAATCAATCTTGTTTTCCTTTAGTCCAGTGTTCACTGATGTCTATCCTACTCGTTCTCATAATACCCTTTCCTTTTCCTTACGATCTCCCTCTATCTTGAGTGGCCCTTAGGTCTTGTATTGGGTGAACTATCAGTGAATAAAAAAATTAAAAAAATTTCACTTTTGGCAAATATTTTATAAAATCAACTTCTCTAATTGAGCAAGATCTGATTGTGTGCATGCAATTAACTTTTGAGAGGGATTTGCAGGACTAAGGGGAAATGGTTTAAACCAATGAGAATCACAAGAACAAAAACGTATTTATGAACTCACAGAAAAACTGGGTCAGCAATTGTGACAATATGTTCATAGATAAATATGTCAGTTAACCACCTTGTATTATAATCTTTCGCCTAATTTTACTACAAATTAAAGTATACTCTTACCGACATACATTTGTCTTACTAAGTTTAATCAAGGCACGTATCTGTCACTAACATTGTTAAAGCATGTCCATTGTCCATTGTCCATGTCTAATGTCCATTGCCTATAACAATAGTTGATGACGTATATAAAGGGAATCTTCCCTCTGTATGTTTCTACATGGGCGATATACGATCTCTATCTAGCAACCATCAACAACATTCCCAGTAGATTTTATCTAAGTTACTACAAGACTCAAACCAGATCAGTTTTTCTGTTAACCACAGGTGCGGTAACCAATGTTAACCTTGAAAACGCATCGGGGAGGAGTGGTATTTAAAGAAATTCTATTTCATTTGACAACCCAAAGGTTCAAAAGAATCTGAACATTAGAAAAAAATCCACAAACTTGAAAAAACACGTCCCACTAGACGAGTGAACCATTTTGTTATCCAGCAACTGAAGTTCGATTATAGTGGACTCCGTTCAGTTTTAAATTGTTTGCTAGGTTAATAAATTCAATTTGATCTTTATAGATATCTATGACACAGTGAAAGAAAGAAAGAAATATTTTTTTTAATTATTGTAGCTGAGGCTTTTATACGGAAGGAGAACAAATGAATATATGAGTGATTTTTAATTTAATGCCAAGAGATGAATCTATAAAACCAATGCAGCAAATTCAAAAAAGAAAAAATGTCAAAATTATCGACATAATGACTTATTCTAACCAGCAACTTCATCCTGTTTTTATTATACTCACTTTGGCTTTCTTCATGTATCTTTGCACTCAGTAAACTCTGGAGTTTTAACCAAAATTTATTCAATACTCGGTGGGTAGATTCTGATTCTGATTTCAAGACTTAGGGAAATTTTCATACCTGTTGATATTCACAAGTCTTATTCACTTTTGTGCCACGTGTTCGTTTCTTAAATGGAACCATATGACTTTCAGCACTACGATACTAAAGCATTGATCTCACAACTAATAGAGAGCCAGATATGTGTTAATCGAATGCTTACTCCGCTAGGCCAAGAGTCGGCAACCTACGGCACGTGTGCCACACGCGGCACGCCAAGCAATTTCCAATGGCACGCAGCTGCAAATGACATCACGAAGTCTTAACCAATAACTACTACAACGCAAAGAAGATATTTAGCTGTTTCAATTTTAATATATACGAAAGTATATAAACTATATATTACTATATAAAAGATATTGTAAAACAGGTATATTGACCTTGACTTGTATAAAAACACTTATGCACATTGAATGATTTTAAAACGCTAAGTCGGCACAGAGTTAGCAAAAATTTGCCGACCCTGCGCTAGGCCATGTATCCAATTTGAAACTTTTTATTAAAACAAAACTTGGTTTTAAAAAAATGATGGTCTTAAATTCTTCTTGTCAATCAAAGTTTTTTTTTTTCCAGTTATGTTAGTTTGATCAGTTAGTCAAAATTAAGTTAAAATCATCCTTTGCCAGTTTCCAGATTGAAGGTCTTCCAGATTAGAATGGTAGGAACATTGTTCATTTCTGATCAGGAAATATCAATGTTTGAGATAAAATTTAGTCATATATCATCTTACAACTATTTCGTTTAGGTATAAAATAAATACCTTACGAGAAAAAATGCCTAGTATTGCTCATATCGCAAAACTGGTTTTAAAAAAAATCAACAAAGACACACAAACATTAAATAATCAGAAAAACAAAAAAAATAAATAATTAACTAAAATGAAAGACAGAGAAAGAAAAGGGGCACTTTGATGTGGTGTAATGGTTAGCAAGCTTATCTTGCTAGAAAAATTACGACCGAGGAGTGGGTTTGATCCTTACTGGGTGTCCCATACTTTCGACCTTGTAGCAAATCTAATCTGTGCTTAGAAAATCATTAGGAGTACTTCAACATATTGTAATGGTCATCAAGCTTGTCCCACTAAATCAACTAAGACTGACTAGTAAGTTCGATCCTCACTGGGCGCCCCATACTGTCGACCTTGTGCCAGATAGAAAATCACCCTAGAGAAAGAAAAATGTCAAAAAGGTGACTCCGAATCATTTTATATTTGATAACACATTAGTAGACTTTGATTTACTTAAAAATGCTTTTATTTCGTCTTTTACAAGATTGAGGATATTGATCGTCTGGAGAATGGTAAAAAAAAAGGTAAGTAAAGAATTTGATCATACCATTCTCGTTGGGGGTGGGGGGTCGAGGTATTAAAGGAAAGTGATAGATCCTCATTGCTGGGTGACGA